TCCAGCAAGTGTTAAAATATCAGGTAAGCTAGTGAGTTAATCCTCTGTGTGATGGGGCATTAAGAAAACAAAGGATTAAGGGGGCTCTGTTTAAGATAGCAAGTGGGTGGGGACCCTCCCTCAACTCGCAGATAGTGAGAAGGACAAAAACCAGAACTTAGACGAGTTTGGCTGTGATGTGACCTGGAAGTAAAGCAGCAAACTGGAAAGCCATAGAGGCAGAGCATGATGTTTGATTCCTGTGTGAATCCAAAGCTATGGATATTGGACAAACAAGACTTTTTTAGGGTGTTGCTGCTATGTCCATTGTAGGCTCAGGTTGTATATATGAGTAAATAAACCATATGCCATAAAGACACCATAGTCTCTGCTGTGCCTCATTCCCAAAAGGAAATACAAACCCTGGATGGAACCCCTGAAATCTCACACAGCTCAAATATTAGGGTAGCATGCAACAATGTATTTGCAGAAAATTGCATCTAGATGTAGCAAAATGGGAGTGAAGATAGCATAAAATAGCAGCAGGAGGAACAAAGGGCACAAGATGAGCACTATGCAGAAAGCAGCCGTTCTTCTCCCGCCTCCTCACACATACACTGGAAATCCTGAATCCTAGAAAACCAAATCATGTTCCTATGCAGAGTGCTAGATTAAAATAGCTTGTTCAGGAAAGCCCTCCCTCAATCATCCACTATTTTTGAATTGTACTGTATCAGTTTTGAACGCCCTGTCCTTCCCTCCTTTGGTGATGATAGGAAATGCAGCCAAACACAATTTGTCCTGAAAAACAGATGACTAGAAAGAGCAGCATTCAATGTGTTCCTAAAAAACACTGAGTTCTAGTAAAAGAAACTTTCCACATGGTATGATGGCTGAGGAGGGATTCTTTTAAGCATCAAATCCCTTATCTATCGCTTCAAACAGAATCACATTCACAATGTTAACAAATCATCATTGTGTATACAGTACATGTTATTTTCTGCAACTTTGTATTTACGTTTGTAAAAGTAAACTGAACAGAATGCCAAAGGTTTTTTTTAAAAAATACATACTTTTGTATTAATTTTTTTCACAGGGTCCTATGTTGTTTTAAAAGAATTGATGCTTTTGAATTATGGTGCTGGAGGAGACTCTTGAGAGTCCCATGGACTGCAAGAAGATCAAACGTATCCATTCTGAAGGAAATCAGCCCTGAGTGCTCACTGGAAGGACAGATCGTGAAGCTGAGGCTCCAATACTTTGGCCACCTCATGAGAAGAGAAGACTCCCTGGAAAAGACCCTGATGTTGGGAAATATTGAGGGCACAAGAAGAAGGGGATGACAGAGGACAAGATGGTTGGATGGTGTTCTCGAAGCTACAAACATGAGTCTGACCAAACTGCGGGGGGCAGTGGAAGACAGGAGTGCCTGGCGTGCTCTGGTCCATGGGGTCACGAAGAGTCGGACACGACTAAACGACTAAACAACAACAACAAATGTTGTTTCTGATGCTGTTTAACATATTTATAAAGCAATTGGGTGTGGTAACTGGGGCCTGGATGCAGTGGTTGGCTACATGCACTGAGTCTGAATGTTGGCAAGATAGTGGGTGAGGGGCTCCCAGGTCCGGGAAATCAGTCAGTTGTTTGCCTTAGATGGGCATGCACTCCCAGGTGTGTAATAATAATAATAATAATAATAATAATTTATTATTTATATCCCGCCCATCTGGCTGGGCCTCCCCAGCCACTCTGGACGGCTTCCATAGAAACCAAAAATACAGTAAAATATCACACGTTAAAAAACTTCCCTGAACAGGGCTGCCTTAAGATGTCTTCTGAATGTCAGGTAGTTGTTTATCGCTTTGACATCTGCTGGAAGGGCATTCGACAGGGCGGGCGCCACTACCGAGAAGGCCCTCTGCCTGGTTCCCTGTAGCATTGCTTCTCGCAATGAGGGAACCGCCAGAAGGCCCTCGGCGCTGGACCTCAGCGTCCGGGCATAACGATGGGGGTGGAGACGCTCCTTCAGGTAGTCTTGCAGCGCTCCCAGATCTAGCTCAGTCAATGGAGGTGCAGGTATCCTCAGTGGCTAGGAGTGCCTTTTACCAGTGTTGACTGATAAAACAGGGACATTCTTGGATTAGGATAGTTTGACCACAGCTGCCCATGCATTGGCAACCTCAAGGTTGGACTATAGCTGTTGGACTACGGCTTCTGAAGATGCAGCTATTCCCTTGATCTCCTGATTATTTACCTGCTTTAATTTCTATGTTTTTAAAACAAGATTGGAGGTTAGTTTTTGCACATTTTAATCATGATTGTTTGTTTTAATGAAATTATTTTATTGTGGATTTTTAATTATAAGTCGTACCTTGGTTGATGAACGCCTTGTGACTTGAACGTTTTGGCTCCCAAACGCCGCAAAGTGTTCCAGTTTGTGAACGTTCTTTGGAACATGAACGTCCGACGTGGCTTCCGCAGCTTCCAGTTGGCTGCAGGAGCTTCCTGCAGCCAATCAGAAGCCACGCCTTGGTTTCCGAACATTTTGGAAGTTGAACAGACTTCCGGAATGGATTCCGTTCAACTTCCGAGGTACGACTGTAGTTTAAGATGTTCTACAAGAAATGGTAGTTCACAAAACATTACCACTGTAATGTATTCTAACAATGTTGTGCAATTGGTTTTTATGTTTTACAAACTGATTAAAAACTATCTGGGCATTACACTACCTGGGCATTAAGCAGTATATAAATAAATTAATAAATAATTATTAAAAAGAATTTCTGGAGAGTTTCCTTCTCAGAAATTGTTACACATATAAACCTTTGAATACTGTATTCAAAAATCAATTTGGAGATTTGATGCAAAATGCCACTTGGGCACACTACTATTTTCTCCTGATATTCCCTTTATAATGTTCTCAGTGCACTAAGCAACCATCATAATACGCCATCTGTTTAGACACTATCAAGGGTTTTGCAGTTATCATGCCATCTTAAGAGTTCAAAGATAATAATGAGAAAGTTTCACAAGAGGGTTTACTGATAGGCATTTTAATTTTTCAAACATTTGGTCATAATTGTGCACGTTAAAATAGATTATGGATTGATTAATACATGGAAAGAATTTACTAATGTGTGAAACTTGGGGTACTGGCATAAAGCAAGCGGCATGCTTTCAGCGGAGTATCTCATTCTGCTTTCTTGCTCGACAGAAAATTACTTCAAGGCACAAGTGGATTGCAATTTTTTAAACATATTCATAATAGATGAAGACACTGGGGAAACATAAAAAGCTTGCATTGCTATACATATTGCCAATTAAGAATGCTCATCCTGTATAGCATTCGTACCACAATTAACAATGCAAGGACATTCAACAGGTAACACCGCATTTGGGAAAATAAAGTCATATGATGACTTTTAAACGCATTCTCAGATCTACAGTGAATTATGCAATTTTGCCTATCAAAGTATTCATACACACGTACCATCCACACCTATTTTCTAACAGGTCTTCCTGATTGCCAATACATTTCTTTGTTAATAAACAATGTGTAAAGTTTCCATTTTTATTTCTATTTTCATGCTCCAATGCAATGACAACTCTTTTTAATGGGCTCCTTCAGAATGGCAGGATATAAATTCAATAAATAATAATAGTAATAATAATAATAGTTATTCATATGAAGCTGTTTCCCTAGTTATACTATACCTGTGGCATTAGCTTCTCTAGCCCATTAATATGTCTATTCAGGTTCTATCATAAATAACACTTTATCCAGATAAAGCAAAAATTCCATGTTCACAGGCAACAGTATTATCACTCACTACCAGATGTTAGGAGATAGGGAGATATGGCCTAATAGCCACAGGAGAAGGAAACAGTGTTGGAGTAGATGGGCCAAAGCCTGATTCAACGAATTCTTTATTTTTTAATAAGAGAAGAATAGACATTTCAAAAGCCCTATTTTTATTAAGGGACATCAGTGGCAATCATATTCTGAATACTGGATGGAGTAGCATTTGCCTTGAAATCTGAATTTCCCCTGGTCTTGGCTCTGACTTTGGATGTTCAAATGACAGCTGCGGCTGCGGCTGAGGGGGAACAGTGGGATTTCCAAGCTTAGACTCGTATGTCAGCTAGATCAATTTCTGGACAGGGCAGATTTGGCGATGGTAACATAGGCCTTAATTACATCACAACAACTGCAATGTGGTCAGAAGGCACATGAAGCCGCGACTTTGATGATGTTAAGGAGGTTTGGTCAGTACCTGGATGTGTGACTACCTGGGAATCCCATGCTCATCGTGTTGAGTTTCATGACAGAATAAGGGCGGAACAGAAACAAAATGAAAATATAATAAACAAGGGTTTGGAAACTTCTGCTTGGTCAAAATGTGGTAGCTTGGAGCAAGAATTGAGGGGGGAAATCGCACATGCCCTATTTGTTTCCAGACACAGTGTTAGTTTTGACTTTCAAAGGACTATATCAATGAAACCTGAGGCCTTAAGACTCTTTCCAGATTGTGCTCCCCCTGGACCATACCCCTCATTGCCACTGTTCAACACCTTCATTTAGTGCTTTTGCCTGGCTGGAGTATGTCCTTAAACATGATTATGCAGAATACTTCATCTCAATTTGCTACATTGCCTGTAGTGCTCACTGATTGGAGCTTTGTTTGGAAATGCTACATTTTTAATGTTGCTGTCTTAACTATTTGGTTATCGTGGTTTTCAGTTTTATTTATGGTTCTTTCTTTTTTTAAAAAAAAATTCATTTGCGTTTCTGATATAATTCTAAGTCAACAAAATATGAACAAAAATAATATGTATGATTCTTTTTTATAAGCTACCTTGAACTATAGGTTGCATATGGAAGGAGAGGCATACAAGTTATTTGAAACAAGGATGCGCAAAAATGGAAGCTAACAATTAAATAATATGCATGTGAAAAAGCCTGATAGTGAAATATGATGAACTCTAGGCTTTAAAGTGATTTTCTTTCTTTCTTTCTTTCTCTTTAAAGTAATGACATTTTAACTAAATCTACTGTTTTAAGGGCCCTTACATCTCTTTTCATCTTAAACTATTGTTCATCATTTTTTATTCAGTGGAAAACCTTAAGTCCAGTCATAGAAACATAATATTGTAGAGTTGGAAGGATCGTCTCTAGTCCAACCCCCTACAATGCAGGAATCTTTGCCCAACATGGGGCTGGAACCCATCACCTTGAGATTAAGCAGCTCAGTCTCTACCAAGTGAGCTCATGCAACACTGTCAACTTTATTACTACTTGCTGATGTAGAAAACAAGGTTTCGGTTAGCCAATCTCCAGACAAGGCTGATTTGTCAACATCCATTGTATTTCACCCTCAATGCCCCCCCCCCCAAACTATTTACATTAGCTTCCTTGCCTGGATGTGAGAGACTGAATGTTTATCATCCATTCAGATTGGCTCCATAATTATTACAGATTCCTGGATGCCTATGTGCTCCTCTTCCACACTTTCACAACAATAGCTGCTTTGTAAGAAAAAGCAACCCACATCACCTGCTCATTGTGTGGGAGAGACTTGTTCCTTGTCTACAGCCCAAAGAGAGACAAGGCAACCTATGCCCTAAGGTGGCTCATTCAGACTCTTGTCTCTATGTTTAAAAAGAGAGAGAGAGAGACAGTAAACCAGTGGTCTAATAATGACTAAAGCCTATCTGTCTGACTGGCAGAGCTTGAATTGCACACCAGGCCTACTGTTTTGGTCTGGCAATGGTTTTGAAACTTACTCCCTTGCACTGTGCTGCACGCATGAACAACACACACTCACCTAAATAAAAAATATCAAGACAATTTCCTTATTTGTGATTGCTCACATAGTTCAGTTCATGATTCATGGTTATTTCAATGATTGATTCAGAAAAATGAACATCTGCTTACACTAATGTGAGGTGGGGGGAGTAGTGTCTCACCAATGTTACTTTAAATCTGAGGGGAATGAGCCCCTGAGTGTGAACTATGAAGTAGAACCACAACACACACACACACACACACACACACACACACACACACACTTAATGCCATGTACAGAAAAAAACCTAGCTTTGGAATTTCAGTTATGACAAGCAATGCACTAACTGCTTTGTACTGCCTGCTTTCTCTTGGCTGAGTTTGAGGAAGAGTTTCCCAATGATTTTCTAAATTGAAAAAGTGTGGGGTTTGAGGTATCTGCCTGATATCACATTAGCTGACACTCTCTTCCTTCTCACCCAAACTAGAATATGTTCTCCTGCCACTCCAAAATAAGGATACCTCGGTGGTGGAAAGGGCTCTATACAGTAGACCTGCAACTTACACAAATTTAACTTGTACGCATTCAGTTTTACACATTTGGCAAAAAAATTAAAAAGGGGGTGGAAAGGAGGCAGGAATAGGGGGAAAGCTTTAGCAATCCCACCCACCATTGTACCCAGTGTATTTTGTCTATACACAATTTGGGCATTATGCGTGATCACCAGAACGTAAGTTGCAATTCTACCCCATATAGTATGTAGTTATTCCTTCACATTTAGACTGAGCCACAGCGCTGAAAATATATTTTAATGCTAAACTTAAGTGAGCCCTGACTGAAGTTAAACTATTATTTTTGCCTATGTGGCATAATTAAATAGTCCTTTCCCTTTCAGAAAATGAAAAGGTTTAATTTCTGGAAAAGGGTGAATGTGGTTTTGAATTTAACTGAATTTAACTGAGGCAAGTGTTCCCTTGCCTCACAAATACACAATCCTTGGGTGGGTTGATTGTTCGTGCTTACCGCAGCTCTTTAGTACAAAACAACCTCACTAGCAACATTAAGGGCTTATCCACATTTACCTTTCCTCTGTTCTTTCCAGGCATGATCAATGCTTTAAAGCTCCACATCCAAGCACCATTTTCTCTCTCTCCAGAGCTTTCCCTGCAAAAACCTGCTGTTTAAACCTCAATCAGAGCAAACAGCAATCTGCAGAAAACCCAAATTGATGTTTGCTCCGACTGAACGCTAAAGAAAGCATTTTTTTCAGGGAAGGCTCCAGGGCAAAAAAGTGGCTTGGACATGGAGCTTTTAAGAGTGGACCTGTGCCTGGAAAGAGAAGGGCAAAAGGTAAGAGTGGATACACCCTAACAGACACAAAAACTCAGAACAGGCCCTGCAAGAAATCTTGACATCATCTCAATCCCCATAACTAAACAGGCATGGCTACTCCAAAAACATCAATCATAATATCAAGGGCAGATTCCCTTGCGCAGAATATGCTATCACTGTTGCATTCATAGGACAAATAGGTGAGTCCTGTGCACAAGAATGGACATACATCTGACATAAAAACGGCAACAGTTTGCAGCCAGAGGGAGATTATTTCAGTCCCGAGTAATGCCCAGCTATTGATCTCAAAGTCATATTCTTCAACAAAAAGACTTCAAAGAGAAGCTTCAGCATGTAATTGCTAAACAGGAAATTATCAGCAAATCTGATTCTGTTCTGTTCTAACTTAATTGAGTATAGGTTTCTGTCACACTAGAAAAATACCATTATCACAGTGACTGCACTATTAGTATATGTATGGGCTCTGCAAATAAATGTCATCCGCTCACTGATTTCATAGTGTTTTAGCCCAAGTATTTACAAACACGGTGTTCTTGTATGTGCACACATATGTGCACAATTTGCCAAAATTCACATGAATGTGTGTGCACACAGCAACAATCCATGAAACTGGTTATGCTGTATGTAGTCCACATCCACAAAAGCTGATTACCACAATAAATCAGGTTGTCTTTGAATCTCTTTGCAAATAAAATTCCTTGACTATTTTGACTTGCCAATATGTAGTAATAAAACAAAGGGATCGATGTAATCATAACACCTTGTGAAAATTTAAACAGATAATTGATGCAGATACAAACACACCAAAAAAACTTGTACTGTAATGTGGGATGCAGAAATAATCTATGCAACTTTTCAGAGAAAGGTTGGTGAAGTATATAAATGCATGGCAGAAATCTGCTCATCTGTACAACTTCAAAGTAATGAAATGCCAAATAGTTTGAATACCAAATTGTCGCAGGCTATATGATGTATCTGACATAAATGATTTTTCATCACAACATTATATGAGATGTTGTGTTTCAGCTGACTATAAGACTGTGACAGTAGAACTTAAGTCACTAAAAATGCATGGCTTCTTAATAATATACAATTTAATAATCCTGTTTTCTTATTTTGTAATTTTACTCCTTTTTATGACAGCTATGATCTGGCTGGCTTACTAGCCTGTTTCTTTATGGAAATGTTTGCAAAGTAATATTATGCAGTTGCAGTAAGAATATCTACTGCTGCTTAAAGTAAAATGTAACAAGCATAGGAAAAGGCGAATTCATTCACTGGAGGTAAGACGAAAAGAAGTCAAATCTAATGGTTCCTCCTGTTGTCAACAGAGTTTGCAAACAGCTTTGGGGAACAGGATAGGATTGTTGGCTATAAACTGGCTTGGTTTTTCATAACTATCATAAACTGTTTGCAGATTGTGGCCAAAGCTCACTACAGATCACCGTCCTTATTTGTGTGTACTGTAACATTAAGCCAAGTCACAAACTGGTGCAAGTGAACAAACATGCAGGCTCCTAGAGAGAAGACTGCATCCACTTTGCTCCTCTGTGATGTACTGTGCTATGCCATAGTTTGGCTTAGTGTGTCATCCAAACCTGGGTTCATGGTTTAGCTCTCTCCAGACAAGCCACACGGCAAACCTTGGTTACACTTAGTGATTTGTCTTGAGTGAGGTAAACCATGATTCTGGGTTCATATTGTGTTTCCACAACTAAAGACTAAGGCGTGAATTGGAAATGAAGAGGGATATTTCATGTGCTGAACCTCTAAAACAAATGGGGGTTCACATAATACTTAGCAACTTTATACACCAAAGAAAAGTATTTTTCTTACACTGAAGGGCCAATCAACATTATTCCAGCAGCATTGAGATGGCAACAAAAGATCCATGTTCTGACCCCCTTTTCCAATACGTATGAAAGCTAGTCATTTTACAATCTAGTCATTTTAAAAGTTAGTCATTGTAAAATCTTATCTGCCTCCACATTCATTTAGAAAAATGCTACCACATGTAAAGGCTAGACAATTCTCAGCTTCCAGGAATGTACCTACAGTTTGGAAACAGGCCTCGGGCCTCTGCACTTATTCATCCATCATCCTAAATTCTTCTCCTGCTCACCTTGCCACTTATACAATGTAAAGACTGAATTTGAATCTTTTATCTGTCTGTGATTCAACATAGGATTTTCCTAGTTCCGTTCCATAAAACCTACACAAGAGGGGGATTTCAGATGATCTTGCATTCAAATAATTGTGGGATTTTCGCAGTCGAGTCATGGTGATACTTTGCATTTATGACGACAGGATAAAGAATGGGAAGAACTGCATCCAACGGAGCAATGGATCCAAACTACAAGAAAGAAGATTCCACCTAAACATTAGGAAGAACTTCCTGACAGTAAGAGCTGTTCGACAGTGGAATTTGCTGCCAAGGAGTGTGGTGGAGTCTCCTTCTTTGGAGGTCTTTAAGCAGAGGCTTGACAACCATATGTCAGGAGTGCTCTGATGGTGTTTCCTGCTTGGCAGGGGGTTGGACTCGATGGCCCTTGTGGTCTCTTCCAACTCTATGATTCTATGATTCTATTCTAACTCCCAGACTCAGAACAGGTACCATACCAGAGGCAACACAGCCCTCATTTTGATTGAGTCCAACCATTTTTATGTGAAGTGCTACAAAACATTTCTTCCTTCCTAAACAAATCTACTGGAAATTAAGATGCATTGCAGGAACTGTTTTTGATCAAAGCACATTGAAGGCTCTCAGTCCTCTACAAGTGAATGAAAATAAAACCTGTGAAATCTGTGCTGCTAGAGCAAAATAGTTACTTGGGCAACTTAATCTCTTTTGAAGTTTAAACAAGATAAGCAGGATAGCTTTGTAAGTCATCAGATGCTAAATCAGAGTCTACAAACAATTCAAATCATGAGCAGATACGTAATCTAATTCTGGACTATGTGTCTTCGCTGATTGAAAATCATCTGCACAACGGCTTTGCCTTCTTAGTGAGCAACTTAAACATAATGGGTGCCACATCCCAAGCCTAGCCAATTTTCGTGCTATCATAAACCAGACCCTTAGTAGAGCGGCAGCTTTGCATTAAGAAGATCCCAGGTTCTGTCCCTAGCATATCTAGTGCTGGAAAAGGTGCCTGCCTTAAATACTGGACAGCCACTGCCTATCAATGGAGACAACACTGAGCTAGATGGACTAAGGGTCTCACTCAGTACAATGCAGTTTCTTTTGCTCCTGTATATGTGGAGCCAGTGTGGTGTAGTGGTTAAGAGCGGTAGTCTCATAATCTGGGGAACCGGGTTCGCGTCTCCACTCCTCCACATGCAGCTGCTGGGTGACCTTGGGCCAGTCACACTTCTCTGAAGTCTCTCAGCCCCAGTCACCTCACAGAGTGTTTGTTGTGGGGGAGGAAGGGAAAGGAGAATGTTAGCCGCTTTGAGACTCCTTCGGGTAGTGATAAAGTGGGATATCAAATCCAAACTCTTCTATATATGTCAAGCAAATTACTTTATGTCTGGGCTTCTTGAGATCAAGAAGCAAGTATGACCAGCATTATCATGATTAGCAACAGATATTGTTTTTAAAAATATATCCTGTATATTTCGCTCCATAAGACGCACTTTTTTCCTCCTAAAATGGGGAAATGTCTTTTTTGGTTTTTTGCCATATCAGTTTTATTAATTTTCCAATAATGCTTTCCATTACAATCTCTCCTTTTATATTATACAATTTGCCTTTTTAGGGCCATGACTTCCTTCAAACCTTCCTTATGATTTTCTATCTTTCATTTCAAATTTCTGCATTTTCACTACTTAACCATTGCTTTCAAATAAAAAACATCAAAGCATCATTTTTTCTTATTCTTCTCTGCAGTGATTTTTATACCTTTCCTTACAAAGCTTCTTGCAATCCTACCAACATGTTTTATTGACTAAAATTGTCTTTAAAATAATTTACAAATTTAGTCAGTCCTTGATGAACTTCTGGTCCTGCTGTTCTCAGATTCTTCCTGTCATTTTGGCCAGTTCCGCATACTCCATTAACTTCAATTGCCATTCTTCCTTTGTCAGTAATTCCTTGTTTCCACTTCTGTGCTAATAAAATTCTTGCTGCTTGTTGCATATAGGAAAAGCTTAGTATCTTGTCTGTTAATGTCTGTACCTACAATTCCCAGTAGAAAAGCTTCCGGTTTCTAATGTATGTATATTTCAACATTTTCTTAATTTTATCATATATCATATTCCAAAAGCATTTCACTTTCTTCCATTCCCACCACATATGATAAAAGGTACCTTCAAAAAGTAAGGGGAAATGTCTGCGCGTCTTATGGAGCGAATGTGTGGTCCCTGGAGCCGAATTGCCCGAGTGTGGCACGTGCCATTGCCCCACCCACCCGGGTTGCTGATGGCCTCCCCTTTCCCCTGAAGCCCCAGGAAGGTTTGGGAGCAGTGGGCAGGCTGTGTGACGTTGCCTTGCACTCCCGGGCTGCTCTCTTTGAGAGAGGCTTTGCCGATGGCCTCCCCTTTCCCTTGATGGCTCCGGAGATGTTGGCCGGAGGATGGCGAGAAGAGGCAGCTGCCGAGATAAAGGAGGAAGAGGACATAGAGGAGTGGGACCAAGAAGCGGGGCGAAGGGAGAGGAGGTAGGTTGCCGCAAGTGGAGAGTCATGGTAAGAGGGCAAAGGAGAGGCAGCAGCGAAGGGGAGAAATTGCAGGTGTCGCCTGAGGAGCTTGGGAGAAAGGGACAGAGAGGAGGAGGCTGGAAAGGGGGCCTGTGCTGCTTGGTGGAGAGGGGGAGAAAAAAGTGGGGAGAAGGAAAGCCTTCCAAGCCTCCGCGGGAGGAGAGCGATCCCTGCAGAGGCTTAGGATGGAAGCTGCGCCCCGCCAACCATATGGCTGGCTGGCGTGCAGCTTCCCTCCCAAGCCTCTGCCGGGATCGCTCTCCTCCCGAGGAAGCTGAGATTCAGAATTTTTTTTTCTTGTTTTCCTCCTCTAAAAACTAGGTGTGTCTTATGGAGCGGAAAATACGGTAACAAGAAATCAAAGAAACAGACTTATTTTGTGTTGTTGTTTTTAATTTGGATTCTTCTGCACATTGGGAAATCTGCCCCACCTTGTTCTTGTTCATATCAGACTAGTTAGCTAAGCCTCCTACACTAAGCTCCTAGCACTGAGCTTTGCCAACAAACAACAGCTGCTGGGTCCAGAGCAGTGCCAGCTGTTCCTCCCTGACCCTTTGTATCACTCTCTTATCTCATATCACTGGCATAAAAATTATGCCACTTCAGGGGGCATCAGTGAATTTGGGTGAAAGAGGGCAGGTAAATTGATCCTCCAAAAATAGCTACAACAGCAATCTGTGAATATATTTCCTCAAGCTTTCGAAAAAGAGAAATTTAAAAACCTATAGAGGATACATAAGACCTGTTATGAGATGCATTAGCAGAACTTAAATGCATACAGTGGTACCTCGGGTTAAGTACTTAATTCGTTCTGGAGGTCCATTCTTAACCTGAAACTGTTCTTAACCTGAAGCACCACTTTAGCTAATGGGGTCTCCTGCCGCCGCCGCGCCACCAGAGCACGATTTCTGTTCTTATCCTGAAGCAAAGTTCTTAACCTGAAGCACTATTACTGGGTTAGCCGAGTCTGTAACCTGAAGCGTATGTAACCTGAAGTGTATGTAACCCGAGGTACCACTATATCCATAATTTAACAAAAATCTGCTTTTTTAGTTACCAGTCAGAATCTTGATAGATTCACTTTAAAAAACAAAACAAAAAAACCCTAGACTCTTAAGGAATATACCTGAGTAGTATACTTGATTTCAGACAGAAGTCATTCCCAGGAATGCCATATGTTGGGGATCTGAGACCTTTTGCATGCAAAACAGATGCTCTACTTATAGAGCTATGACCCTGCCCCCTAGGGTTCCCTCTCCTTAAAATGGCACTAGCTGGGTAAGAGCAATAATGCTGCTAACACCATTTTTAGAGATAAAATCCTATTATCAAAAATAAGTCAAAATAAGTCAGTTTGGAGAGTTGCTCCTGCATGAAATAAATAGTTGATTAATTCCCGGGCATAATTTGTAGCCATACAAAATATAATATTGGAGTGAAAAGGGTAAAACTGTGATCAAAACTTCAATTTTGCAAGGCTGCTTGGAAAGGGCTAATAAATATAATCTGATCCAAAAGTTCTTAAAGCGTTACAAAATTTGTTTGGTACCTATTAATATTCCAGTTTTATCCACTTTACTGCAGCCTTCCTCAACTTGAGTCCACCAGATGTTTTGGACTACAAATCCTAACCAGCCCCAGACAGCATGACCAATGGCTAGAAAAAATGGAAGCTGTGGTCCAAAACATCTGGAAGACACAATTTTGGAGACAGCTGCTCCAATATATTAGTACAGTAGAGTGTACTATTTGCATATCTATGTCTAAATCAAGGGTGATAAACCTACCTGCTCTATAAAGGAGGACCGCATTCCCTCTCAGACAACTGTTGAGGGACTGCATAATGGCAGTGGGTAAGGCCAAAGCATGCACACATATGCAAAGCTCATTCCTACATGCAGATTATTAATATAGCTAGACTCCAGATGTATGTTAATACTGTTTAGGTGTAAGCAAATGCCTATTTGAAAGACCACAAAAACATAAAGCGGCATAATTGTTTCTGGGGGGTAACACTTGCAGGTATAATTGTATCTACATCTAATGACTTCCAATTATAATAATTAGATGAAAGATTAAATGAAGGTCTGGTAACAGAACTGCTTGTTGCAAATGTTGTCAGTTTTATGTACAGTGGTACCTCGGGTTACATATGCTTCAGGTTACAGACGCTTCAGGTTACAAACTCCACTAACCCAGAAATAGTATCTCAGGTTAAGAACTTTGCTTCAGGATGAGAATAGAAATCGTGCAGTGGCGGTGCGGCGTCAGCGGGAGGCCCCATTAGCTAAAGTGGTGCTTCAGGTTAAGAACAGTTTCAGGTTAAGAACGGACCTCCAGAACAAATTAAGTTCTTAACCCGAGGTACCACTGTATTTCCATTTATTTCTCTGTTGTGGAGGTGAATGACCTTCCACTGTAGCAGAAGGCCACTTTCTTGGACTTCCTAGGCCTAGAACCTTGCTTTGTAAACTACGCAATTAGTTTAAAGCCTTAATCTCATGAGGGATAAGAACTGAAGACAAACGTTTATGTCTTTCTCTTTCTTTCTTTCTTTCTTTCTTTCTTTCTTTCTTTCTTTCTTTCTTTGCTGCTGTGCACAGGTTGGGGATTGTTTCATTTGTGGCCTATGGATGTCCATGCAAACATACACAACTGCTACATAATAGCAATCTTACATGAAGGCAAAAAAATCACCCCCTAGAAATTCTGTGATGCTATGCGATTTAAAAAACCTAAAACTAAAACTGGAAGGAAACCTAGGCGAGAACTTGCTCTGAATGGACTGCACTTTACACACCAATTTCCTAGTTCTTGTACGTGATTTCAATCCATAGTCTTATTTTTCCTGAGAAATTTAGCTTCAGATATGGCACTATATCAAATAATGAATGAAAAAAGCTATCCAGCTATTGCTTAAGCCTTTGGAACATTCAGTATATTTTTACAAAGTAGCTCCCTCCTCCATGCAAAATCTTCCTATTCTCTATCTGTTAGGTCAGTCTGCCAGTCTAATGAATATCTTAAAGGTGTGACTTTCCT